CCTACGTCGATAGTAAGTGATAGGGATGTAAGGTTTGCCAGCAAACTCTGGCAGGCAACAGCTGAGCAGATGGGTACTAAGCTGCAAATGACATCAGGGAATCACCCTGAGTCAAATGGCCCTGCTTCGAACTGTGCAAATGACGTCAGGGAATCACCTGCAAATGACGTCAGGGAATCACCCTGAGCAGAAGGGCACTAAGCTGCAAATGACGTCAAGGAATCACCCTGAGTCAAATAGCCAGGCAGAACAGATGAACCGGGTAGTACAGCACCTGCTTCGGCACTATATTAAGCCAAGTCAGGATGACTGGGACGAGAAGTTACCTCCCGTCGCCAGCCTGTACAACAATGTTGTGCACAGTACTACTGGTATGACTCCCAACCAACTGCACCTTGGTTGGAAGCCCAGAACTGCACTTGACTTTCTGCTACCAGAAAGGCAACCCACTGCAACACCTGGCAGCATAGAGTTTGTTGTCAATTATGAACATATGTTGCAGCAGGCCGTTGAACATATTAGAAAGTCTCAGGATGCTATGATCGCATATGAGAATACACGTAGACGGCCCTCTAACTTTCAGGTGGGTGATAGAGTCTGGGTAAGGTCATCTGAACTAGGTCAGGAGTTGGGGATTTCACGTAAACTGATGCCACAGTACTTTGGGCCCTGGGAGATCTTAGACATTGTAGGTGATCAACCGGATGGGCCTTCATATGTGATTCGCATTCCTGCACACTTGCGTACTTACCCTGTGTTCCATGCATCCAAGTTGGCACCTTTCGCTTCCACAGATCAGTTTCCCTCCAGGAGATCAATGCTGCCCCCAACCATGGACGGACATGTGGACATTGACGATATCATCGAGCACAAGCTGATGCCTATGCCCAAACCTCCAGGAAGGGGACAACCGCCAAAGCCACAGATGCAATACCAAGTGCGGTTCAGACGTCACATTGATCCTCAAGAAGACCCGTGGTTCACAAGAGAGGAATTAATGAAGACTGCTCCCCAAATTATCTCAAGTTACGAGAGAAAGCTGAAAGGGAAGCAGCCTGTTACATAAGGATTTCTCAGAGGACTATCGAAGAAAAGGAGGAGGGAATGCGAGGATCTAGGTCCTCGGCAGGCCTAAGGGGCCCCTGCTGCAAATGTGCCCGCCCTAAGTGAAGGCGGGCCTAACAAATCACGAGAGGCCCTAAGTTGTCAAATTCGTATTTGGGGTCTAGGCAGTTTCGTCGCGCCAGTTGGTTGAGTAAACTCAGGCCGAGCAGCAAGGAAATTCCACAGCCTTCTAGGCTTTTATGAAAGAGCACGCCCTGGGCGAGATTCGCAGCCTCATACACAGACAGTTGGGAAGCCCAACTGAATGAGGCCCAATAGCTACACCAGAGACGCAACATCCTGGGGCCTACTGGAAGCTTCTGGGCCCAGGCCCAGACCAGTCAGGCTGCGAAGGCAGGCAGACTCTTAGGAAAGAGCTCGTTGCCTGGAGCCGCATTCACGCACTTGCATGCCTAGCGGCAGCGCTGCTGGAGCGAGCGCTAGCGGACTGCTATAGGCGCTGAGAGGCAAGGCGTGGGCACGTGCGGTCGTGTGAAGGAGGAGGGCGCTGCTGAGGGCAGCGCCATAGCCCAGCCACCGTAGCTCGCGGGCTTGGACTACAGTGAGGCGCAGGGGTGGTCTTTGGGTGTACAGAGGGAAGATGTGGGTGTAAGACGAGTGAGAGAGAGAGAGGATGATGATGATGATGATGATGTGAGGGCACATACCTGGTATTGGCGAAGGTCTGTTACGGGCGACTTCTTCAAGTACTTCGTTGGCTGCTGACGTCAACAGTTGCATTGTCAATTAGTAGGCTAGTAGTAGCTGGGTAGGGAGTAGGCTGGGCGCCGAGCGCCAAGTAGGGAGAAGGACCTGAATACATATGTTGGTGGTGGCGAGAGCAAGCTCTCATTGACATTGGTTTTCAGTGTTACGATTCTCCATTGGTGACATATTGGTGCAATGCTGCTTTCTGCAATCAGACTCACTTTCACTCACACTTCGCATGCATGTAAACAGGAACACAGCAAACCGGCGACAAGTGCCCACTCAAGACTCAGAGATATGGTGGCTCATAATACAGTCAATACAAACTCGCTTCAATGGCTATGGTGCATCAGCGCCTGTACAGATCTTTGTTCGTCACTCACTCTACGCTGCTGTTCACACACAGGATCACCCTGGATATCCCACACGTCACACACTGTACACACACACACACACATGTACACGCTACACTCTATCTACAACTATGGTGGCTATGGCCGCTGCTACCCTATTGCTATGGCTAACTCTCCTTCTTGCCCACTTCGTCTCCAGGCTCACTGCAGACCACCTCGCACAAGTCGCTGTGACAGCGCTTCCGCATGGCTTACGTAGGAACGAATGAATGGCTGGGCGCTGCCCTTTGATTTATACTACTGTAGCTCGTTGGTCTGGCCCTTTCCCATGCCCGTAATGCACACAGTCCCATACGGTACTTGCTTGACTGGACTAGGACTGACTCGCACTGGGACTGCTGACTCAACACAGGTAGACTCCACCACTTGCCCACTTGCCTCAGTCTAAGCGACAACAACTTCGAAAGGCCACTACTAGGACTTTCTGGAAACTTTAGTCCTGGCCTTTTGGACACTGTAGCAGCTATGACCTTGACTTTTCCGGACTGTAGCAGCTACGACCTTGACCCTTCAGAAACCCTACAGCCACGACTTCTAGAACTTCCTAAGACCTCTACTCGACAGGTCTACAGATCGAACCCCTATCTCCTATAGACCCTACGACAGTCTACCAACTGTAGGAACAAACGCAGGTCGTTGGTTTGACTCCTGGGGTCCACGCAGGTAATGTACACAGGTAAGGTAAAGTCTACGGATCAAGCCCTGGGATCTGCATTCACTACTGCTAACAGGTAAAAACCGTTTCACTCCCGCCGGCCTAAATTCGAGGTCCTCCGATAATAACTCAGTCCTAGGCAGGACCTTTACCTTTCCTATCTCTCTCATAGGCCCTCACTATGTCGGGAGTTGTTTCTAGAAGTTCCGTTCTACTAAACCAGCGGTCGTCCTCTAGTTGTTGATAAGCAAACCGGACCTTATACTGTTTTTTTGGACGACCTCGACCTCCTGTTTTGAACACGTCTTCACCTACAATGTCGTCAATGTCGTATCTTTCGTCCATGTCTGGAGGTATCATGGACCTTCTAGATGGAAACTGTTGACTTGTCACACATGGTAACAATTTCGACGCATGAAACACGGGGTAGGTATGGACGTGTGCTGGGATCTCAACTGTGTAGGACGGCCCATCTTCTCCGCCCTTGACTTCTAGAACTGGCCACGGTCCTCTATACGCGGGCAGTAACTTCTGCGAGATGTTTTCCTCAGGAGCAAACTCTTTGGACTTGACCCGGACTAAGTCGCCTACTTGGAACAGTGACGGGCGACGATGCTTATTAGCCTGTTCTATCATTCTGTGATGGGCCTTCCTGAGGTTATCAACAACAGTAGCTAACTCTTTCTCGTGCTGTATCACAAACTCCCTTGTACTGGGTGGTAGCCTATGAATCTGATCCCGGTTAAGTCCTTCGAACGGTCTACGCGGTCTAAAGGACTTGTGCAGCTCGTTGGGAGTGCAACAGGTGGACAAGTGCACACTGTTATTGTACGCACTGGCTACCTTGGGCAACATCTCATCCCAATTGACTTGATATGGTCTAATGTACATGCGCAGAACTTGCTGCAGGATCTTGTTCAGTCTGACCGTTAGTTTCTGGATGACGGCCAGATGACATCAACAACTTTGACCCATAGACTTTCATCAGTTTCTGCCAGTTCTAACTTGTAAAGCGGCTATCTCTATCGCTAACTATAGACAATGGGACTCCATGCTCATTAACCCAAAAGTCAAAAAACTTCTGAATCACTAACTCGGTACGGGCCTCTGCAGGCAAAGGAACAAAAACTGCATACTTGCTAAATCTATCAACTATGACCATGACTTGGCTCTTGCCGTGCCTACTCTTGACTTGAGTATCCATAAAGTCAATGGACATAGAGTCTCCGGGCTGGTCAGAAATAGACAGGGGTATGAGAAGACCTAGAGGGGCACGCGTAGTAGTCTAGTTCCTCTGACACACTTTGCAACTGCGAACATACTCTATGCAGTCGGCTTTCATTTCTGGCCAAGTATACGCGTGCATTAGATTGGCTAAAGTCTTTTGGCAACCGAAATGTCCCTCGGTGTCGTGGCGTTCTCCTAGGATCAAACTACGGATCTCCTCATTGTTAGGGACGCACAAACGGTCTACTACATTAGTCTTCTCAAATAATAACCCCTCTGTAGTGCAGGGCAACGTGCGGGGCGTCGGCCAATCTCTAATCGCCGCTATCTTGCTGTCCTCAGGCCTAATGCCATCTCCGTCCAAGACATGGCCCAAGTACAAGACTTGTGTCTTGGCCCACTCGCACTTTTTCGCATTGATCTTGAAGTTAGCCTCTCTCAGCTTCTCCAAGACCTGCCTCAAATGACCCTGATGCTCGTGGAGGGTCCTACTGAACACTAAGATGTCGTCTAAGTAAACTACGACAAACCTATCTAACCAAGGCCTAAACGAGTCGTTCATACAGCGTTGGAATGTAGCTGGCGTGTTGGTCAATCCAAAGGGCATTACTATAAACTCATAGTGCCCATATCTAGTCTGGAACACAGTCTTGTACGGGTCATCAGGATGGACCTCTATCTGATGATACCCGGACTTCAGATCGATCTTCGAAAAAAATATTTGCAACCCTGCACCCGATCTAAAAGATCGTCTATCCTGGGCAGTGGTTCAACATTCTTCACCGTGATCGCATTTAGACCCCTATAGTCTATACACATCCGTTACTCTCCTTCCTTTTTGGGGACAAACAAAACTGGTGCTCCAAAAGGAGACGAACTGGGCCTAACCCAACCCTTTCCTAGGAGCTCATCTAACTGCTTACGCAGCTCCTCTAACTCCCGAGGGTACATCTTGTAAACTGCTCCCTTAGGAGTTCTACTGCCAGGCGCTATCTCTATTCTGTGCTGGATCAGCCGCGACACTACTCCTGTTGGCGGCTCTGTCAAATCTTTGAACTCTTCCAGGAGCTTGGCAATAGCTGGGTCTATGGGTTCCTCTTCCTTAGGCTCAGTGACAGGTCTGATGTAAGCTACGAAGACCTGATCTTCTAACTGCTCCTTTTTCACTAATCGCGCGAACGCGGGAGCACTGAGACAACAATGTGCCAGGGAGTGATATACTCCAGACGCATGAAACAGGCGGGCAGTCTTAACCTCACCTGACGGACTAGGGAGCCTACACTCGTGCTCTCTCAAATGGAGTGTGGCCCCGGCTGCCTCTCCCCAGTCCATGCCTAGGACTATATCGAAAGGAAGGTCATCCTGTACGAGGAGAGTCAGGGAATGGAGAACTCTCTCTACTTTCCCATCTTTCTCTAGGCGGAAATACGCCTTGACTCCCTCTACGTAGTTCTCAACACGCATAGTGCGGTTGTCTGCGAGGACACTGACTATGGGGTCTTCCAATTTCTGGACCTTCAAACCTAGCCTTAGCTTCTTCAGCGCTTTGCGGCTAATATAACTGCGAGTAGCCCATGAATCTACAAGGGCCCCCACTCTACTTCTGAAGACCTCTACATCTACTAACACTAGCTGTCCCTTACTATCCTCCTTCATTTTGGCCCAAGCTAGCATCCTCTCTTTCAACTCTTCTGCCATGCCTGTGAGGGAAGTGCCTAGAGAGACGCTAACACAAGCAGTCTCTGGACAGCTAGCTAGGCACTGGCCTGCAACCTCTGCTGAAGGCTCATCTGGTGTGGGAGTTTCCTAATCGCACGTGCTCGCTTCCCCACATGGCCTAGTAGTAGGGGCAGTTGCAACCCCTACCGGCGGCTGCCTTTTGACTCTTGGGCAGCCCATCGGGCCTGTCTGTTTTAAGGACAATATCTAGTAATATGGGCCGGGTCACCACAATAGATGCACTGACCCTGGTCCATACGTGGCTGCCATACTCGCTGGTCCAGGCACAGATCTTCCCAAGGCCGGCCTTGTGGCCAACCTGGGTGCCAACCTCCTCTCCTCTGAGGTGATCCTCCACCTCGTCGCTGCGGGGACCGACTAGGACCTTGACGATTTGACGGGGGACCTTGACCCCTACCTCCCTCTTGGCGGTTCCTTTGGCCGCCAACCCCCTGTGCGCCCGATCCTCGACCACCCATGGCCTGGCCCCTTTGGCCCTGGCCTCCTCCTCTACCTTGCGGCCCCTCCAACCGCGACAGCAACATAGGTCCTCCCCTGGCCTATATCGTTGTCCTCCTCCTCGAGCCCCCACTCAATCTAATTGTACAGGACTTCGTTTGTACCACCTTCATCTAAAGTAAGGATCAAATGATCCTTAGCCCTGACCTGGCCTGAGATGGTACAACCTTTCCACTTCTTTCCCTTGTCTAAGTCCTTATGCCAGAAAGTGGAAACTGGCATGGACTTGGCCTTGAACAGGACCACTTCTCTACTCAACGCATCATATGTGATGTTGGCCTGTTGGGTCTTATCGAAGAAATGCCCCCTCGCAGGGGCTCTGGCATGGCACGATAGAATAATTGGACCAACTGGGTCTCAGTGACCCCGTGGTGTAGGACGGCTACTAAGTCGTCCATGACAGCTTTGAGTGCTCGCGCACTCCTCCACTGTCGTGAGTAGATGGTTTGGAGTTTGTCAGAGGCCCTGACGCCCTTGGTGACGTCAGCGAACCTCTCTCTCAGGAGTTTGAGGAAAGTAGAAAGAAGGGTGAGCTTGGAGTAAACAACCATATTGTTTTCACAATCGGCTGCGCGCGCGAGGGACCTGGTGAAGCTGTGGCCACTTCGTCCTTCAGTGCGTGGAAGGCCACGAGGACTTGTTCCTCGGGGGCAATGTGCTGTAAATAGACATAGGTATTAATGCTGGCCTCCCAATTATCAAAACTACCGTCTTTTTTCCCGCTATATGAGTCAGGAAATTTCAGCTTGACAGGCTCTTTGCGGACGCACTTCAGTTTCGACCACTACTTTGGCGCCTTAATTGGCGTCTTCATTGGCGCCTGCGCAGAGCTTCTCTGCGCCTTCCTTCAATCTCTTGACCTTGGTCCCGACGTGGGTTACCACGTCGCGCACAAACTCTCTAAATCCACTCCGGATGGCATAAAGGGTCACTTCTTGACCCTTATTGGCCTGATGTTGTTCGAGCCAGGCCTGACTCAAGACTTCAAGATACCCCAGAATCTTATCTAATTTAGTGGGGGTCTCTTCTTGTGCCTGCACTTCCTGCCTGCACGCCTGGATCTTCTCCACCTCTTTGGCCACCCGGTTGGCCTCCTCTCTCCTGCTCTTCTTTTCCCTGGCCAGCCGCAACTTCCACTCTAACCTCTTTTCATCTTCCGCCGTCTGGCGGTCCAGGGGGTCCTCCATCGCTTCCAGCCGCCTGGCGAATGCTTCTCTCTCCTCCTGAGGCACGTACAACATTGCCTCCTCATCTTCTCCCAACAATAAATTAGCTACCCACTCACTAATCTCCTTCTCCATCCATTCATCTTCCCCTTTCGTGCCACTAGTTTCCCCTCTCTCTTCCCTACGCCTCCTTTCGAGGGGTTCTTCTTCTACCTCTGAAGAAGCCCTTCTTTTCTCTTCCTCCTCCTTCTGTAATCTCATCATCTCTTCTTCCAACCTTTTCCTCTTCGCCGCCTGCTCCTCTGCGATCGTCTTCAACTTCGCCTGTTTGAGGAGCTCCTTCTTCTCCTTCATCTCCTTTCTCTCTTTCAGAATGGCGGCGGCACGCTCCTCCTGGGCTTGGGTATATGGGGTAGTACTCTTCCCACTACGGGTGTCAACCATGGTGTTAGGTGCACAACCAGACAATTGTTCCACTCCTCACCACTTAGACTCTACCCCCTGACTGACACGACCTATTGACTCAATCTAAGGACCACAGAATCCGGACAGGATCCTGTCAACTAGGGTCACTAGCCTGGACCTAAACTAAGGCTGTCACTACAGGACCTATTGCTGATCAGGAGGCATTTAAGGAGATCCCCCGTAACTCCTCAGGAATTCTTTAACGTCGCAGACAGGACGACGCGATCAGCAGGTCCTCTCAAGACTTAGACGGCCTTTTGTGCAGCCCACAGCTCGGATTTTGGGCCTACCATGCCACACCGAGCAGCCCGCCGGTCAGTACCGGTCCTTGGGAGGGTTCGTGTCCTCCGAGACAGTCTAGTCGTCAGACACGGCCTTTAGCCCTTCTCAGCCCGTGTGGGTTTGGTCAACAAGGCCCTATCCTTCATCTGCAGAGTCCTATCACCTGGACAAAGAGACTCAATGCAGAAAGAAGAGACAGACAAACTTGACTCAGGAAGTACCACAGGGTGTGTGCACATCCATAGGGCGAGGGGATACGCTGAAGGCTTGGCGAGATTATACCGGCTCCAGCTTGGTCAAAATCGTGGTCAACAGTCTTGGTCAATGCCTTGGTCAACCCTTGGTCAATGATGTAGTCAACCTCCGGTCAACTCCGGTCAACGCCCGGTCAACACCCGGTCAACTCCGGCTATAGCGGCCGGTTTCTCCTTCGTCGCCACCCTTCTCCTCCCTTCTATCTGCCTGGCCTCCTTCTTCTTCACCCCGGATATCTTCTCTCTCCTGCAAGAAGGCAACGACGAGAGAGAGAGAGAGAGAGAGAGAGAGAGAGAGAGAGAGAGAGAGAGAGAGAGAGAGAGAGAGAGAGAGAGAGAGAGAGAGAGAGAGA